GTCTTGACTCGGGACTTGACTCGAGACTTGAATGCAAAGACTCGAGACTTACTTGTGACTAGCAAAACAATGACTTGGTTCCACCTCTGCTATTGAACACACCCTTTTATTAAGTATTTATACACTTTATTTTATTAATTAAGTTTATAAATGTAGTGCCAAGATTTAAAATTACTCTTTTCTGTTTATACATATTAATATAAATTAATAAAATGTAATTTATTCCTTTGAAGGTATAGTTAAATTTGGTAATTTGGTGATTGTCAATACATATTTCTTTTTATTGTCAATGTTGAAAACCGTTGTGCTGCTTAATATTTTTGTGATGCATTTTGTTCCCAATATTCTTTGATGAATAGTAAGTTAAAAAGTAGAGATGCACCGATTGCAATTTTATTGGCTGATTCCGATTTCCGATTTTTTTGTTAGTGTGATCTGCCGATACCGATTTTTGCCGATTCCGATTTTCTTTCTAAGACCTATAATTGACCACATATACAAACAAAAATCTACTGTTCTTCAACGCAAAGTTTTATTTTCATTAAAAAACAAGTAAAAAGTCAGTAATAAAATAAGAACACAAAAAAATTGCAAACAACAGCACAAATAAATGCAATAGAATAAAGAGAGCTATGAAATTAAGTTTTTCAGGTTAAGTAAGTTTTTATTCAGTTAAGAAATACTACAGAAATTAAAGTAATCAAATGTAAAATAACACATCCATTCCCGTGCTATATTTAAATTTAACGGAGTTCACGTCAACAAAATCAAAAGATAAGCGCTGCATTTTATTAATTATCAGCTCATTTCAAGATCAAAGACCGCAATAGGAGAGCGCGCGGCATCAGCACTGGAAAGATAAGTTTGTCTTACTACTTTTAATGAAGATGATTGCGTGTTGACCGTCTGCGTCTTACTTTCAGTTTCATTCGCGGCAGTTTACGCGTCAGATTGCTGAAGAGATACTCAGCTACTCATCCGCAGCAATGCGTGTTGCATTAGCTTAGTCTGACTAATGTCATATAGCCTATAACACGCTCTCACATGTTTATTATTTTAACATTTTGGGAGGAGTAAAATTTACATATGCAGCTTTTATTTGAAATAAATAATTTGTAACATTTTACACGTCACAATGTGATGCTTCCTTGCTGAATAAAAGTATTAATTTAAATATTTAAACATTTAATTGAAACTATGGCATGTTTTTTGAGTATTTCTCAAGTAAATGTAAGATGTTTTTCAAATAGATATTCAAGAAAAATAAACAGTAATTAAAAAAATTTAATTATACAATTTAAAATAAAACTAAAATGATTGTTATAGTGTTAGATGCATGATTATTAGATTTGAAGTGTTGAATACAGAATCAGTGTTGTTGGTTTTTTTCTAACTTTTGATGTTCCTACCTTGAAGGAATGTGTCTTTTCAGGTTTGTACAAACCTTGACATTGGGTAAATGTATTGCAGTATGCATAATATAGATGTGTCTACAGAGTCATTGCTTTGCTCTTTTCTTCTTATCTCTGAAGTGACACCAGCTGAAGTAAATTAATTTTCATATCAAGCTTAAAGCTTCAAGTTGGCATGTTTGATCAGTTTCTTTTTTGTCTCAGCTGCCTGTCATCCGGTGATGTTGTATCCAAACATAAATGGAAAGTTAGCAGATATGCTCTGCTTCAGTATGAAAGGACACACTGTACAGTATTTGCTCAGCTGGAGTACAAGGATGTCCTTGCACTACTTGTTTCGACCTGATGGGGGAGCTGTCTTTCCAATTCTCCCTTATTTGTCTCAGCAAGCATATTTTATTGAGACATCTGTTCCCTAGTAATGTGTCTTAAAGGGAGGGTACAATGCTGTTTCATGCATTCAGAGTTGTTTACACTGTTAAAGAGTTGGATTCTCATGCTAAGCATGGACAAAGTTTCAAAAAACAATTTGGACGTATGAGTATTTCTATGGCAAAAATCTTACATCTGGGTTTGTACAAGTTTCTGAGTTTTTTTTTCGATCGTGGCTCTTAATGACGTAAACGAGGGTGGAACTCCTTATATGGGCATTTCTCCCAGAAGAACGCGCCTGTGCACGCATCGACCAGAGCAAGAGCGAGATCGCACCCATCAACGCACTTCATCCGGCGGCAGCGCTGCACGGGACTTGCTCGAGAAGAATGTCTCCAATCCAAAGAAGTGGGTTTTTGGTTGTAAGGGAAAGATAACTTTGTTCAGCTTCCTAAAGAACCCAGCGTTATGTAAGAAGTGGATACAGTTTGTTTTTCCGGGGCAGCAACGGAGTTTCACAAGTGTGTTTGTTGACGAACGTTTTATAAACAAGGCCCAGTTCGATGCTGGATTTCCCACTGCACGCCTCCAGGAGTTCGGCTTTTTCCAGAGAGAATCGTAAAGCTGTATCTTTCTTTTATAAATATGATAAAACTAAAGACTTTTTGGAGATATGAAGGATGCAGTACTACTCTATAGGTACTCAAGATTAACATGAGATTGGGTGAAACTGTGTGTGTTATGCCCCCTTTAAGCAACCAACCAACATGATAATCAGTCTCACCATACTCTCCACAAAGTATTTAATTTGTACACTTTGTGTTTCTGATTTGTCAGTCAAGTAACAGAAAATGAACAAATTAGGTTCTAGTTTTAAGGGGACTGACATGAATTTAATTCTTTGAGATGTCCCGATTTCCTTGTAACTATTAAGAATCCCCTGCAAAGAAGATAGAGATGCTGCAATTATCTCTCTGTGGAGAAATTTCTGCACATTTTTTTTTCTTTTGTCATAGAATAATATCTTTATTCAGTATAGCAACACTATAACAAATGACATTGGTTTAATCCAGACAGAAGGATGCTAAGCATATGTTTAGCAGTGAATTAGTAAATATTAGTGAATGTTACTGTATCCTTTGGTACCAAGAATATTCATAAACCACATGTTAGTCATTTACATTCCTTACGGCATGATCCTGCATGTTATTGTGTGCATGAAATTATTTTGGATATCTATTTTTTTTCTTAAATAAAAAAAAAGCTAAATTGCATATTTGTTAATGCCTGTCTTGAAGTCAATGTAAACTGACAAGACAAAAACATTTGTGTCAAAGTATTATTGTACTTGCACATTAGACTTTGCGGTGTGAATGCAGTCTCATAGACCTGCTACTAGATATTTCTGGTAATTCATTTCTGGTTTTTAATTTATTTGTTTTGTTCTCTTACCAACTGTTTACTTGAAAATTTACTGTAACAAATTAATGCAATAGCTTTTAATTGAGAACTACTTAAAAGCTACACTCCAGTGTGTTTTTTTTTTATATTTATGTAGGGATTTCTATCCATAACAGACACTGATATGCCATGGAATCATCCCAGCACATGACTCCAATATTCGGGGGCGATTTCCTGTCAGTCTTGGAGGCGATCGACCATCTAAGAACTCAACTACTCAGTTGAAGCTTCGTAACTCTGCAGAACGCAAAGTCTTGCTAAAGCCGACTCTCTCAGACGAACTTCGAGGTTCTTCCGTAACCCGGCAACCAACCAATCCAACGAGGGATCTCC